GGGGGGGGGAAGCTCCAAGTAGGTTTTTTGCACGTTGGGACCAAAAATAGTTAAACAGTTGAATTCCAGCAGAGTTCAACCTGAGTGAGTATGCACAGCTCCTACTGTGATGGAATAAACTGAGCGTATGTTCCAGAGATTGAAATTTCACCTGTAGATTTTAGAACTGGTGTATTTTAAGCACGTTATGGAAAATTGTGATATTTCTTTATAGATCCCTCACACCGAAGGAATTGCAGCACGTTGTTGCAGGTTTGCTTTGCCATATGCCTATAACTGTGTTCATCAGTAGTCACCAAAGTGGTTCTGCACTATGAATGATGGGAGCACTGATGTGTTCAGCACGAAGCCAAGTCTGCCTTCTAGATTTATATGTAAACACACAATTGTTTTTGGTTTTTACTGGAAAAAAAAAAGACAAAGGCTGTGATACCTAGAGCACAGAGACTTCTTACCGTGCCCTTAGCGATGTCATGCTATCTGCCAGTTGCCATTTGCTTTTATGCTTAAGTTACGTGGTTTAAGACTCGATTGTCATGTTTCTAGATCTGTGGCTTATGTAACATGAAAAACATTTTTATTTTAGTAATTTTCTGGACAGTTAAGACCAGGAATGGGGGAAAAAAAAAATTGCTGCTTTTATGAAACCTTCAGTATTTCTGTCATTGCTGTATTTTGTAATTCTAAGCAATACTGTGGAACTCAAATAATAAAATGCTTGTATTTTATATAATTTTGAGTGGATGTAAATGTTAATGTAGCATGTCAGCGCTTCGCATGAGTAACTGAAATGTTTAAGCCTTAAATGTAAAGCTCACTGTATGGTGTTCAAAATCGAGTTGAAATGATCACCTTTATAAACTTTCCATGATTGTTTTTATCCGAACACTTTACTTAGAAAACTGAAGATGGTGTTTATGTACCAGACATACTCACTGAACAAAATAAATGTCATGGTCTGAACCGCACGGGGTTTGGGCTCGGCTGTCGGTGGTGTTCTACAGGTAGACCCTTCTTCTGGGTTCCATGCCAAGGGCAGTGTTCTG